ATCACACAGGCACCAAGCTGCGGGGAATTCCTGCTGCAAGACAAACCGCAAGCACTTTCACAGAGAGAACCTACACAACTAAGTGTAGCTGAGGAGCTTCACCTAGCTCTTCAACACGCGTGTATCTCTTATCAAGATATAGTACAGACCGAGTTTGTACTCAGCATTGGAGCAGCTAAACATACAAGCCTGAAAACAAAGGCAAACACCGTTCTGCAGTCTGCAGCATAAATCACAAATTTAGAAGTACCCTTTTCTCTTAACAGTTCTTCCTGTCTACTTATTCGGCTGTTGCTGCTGAAGCACAAATGCCAGTTTTATGGAGGTGATCTACAGAACAATTTGGGAAGTTTAAGTTTAGCTACTTATAGTTTCTGAAAGGGCATAAAGATAGCATTAAGATTCAGGAATAGCTGTGCTAGTAATACCTGTGCTACCAAGATCTGCTAATTAAAACTCCACACTGGTAATTTTCATATAGAGAAGAGATGCTAATAACACATTAGGATAAATTATCACAGGAAGCAAGAACGTCTTACCGGTCTGTGCTTGAAGTTTTTTCAAATTATAGGCCCCAGGACCAACGAATCTTAACCTTTTTGATAATGGAACGTGGATAGTTTCTGAAAGGACATTTAAAACACTTTGAAATGCTAAATACGATAATCTTGAAAGCTATCACAAAGACATTCATTTAGGTTTTAATCTTCCATAGCTACTCGTATTGTTTGCTGAACATTGAGGTAATTACATTTAAGAATTGAAATAAATGAAAACATAGAATACAAATACTTCGATGAGTGTAAATTACCTTAAGCCATACCAATACTGACATCTATATCCATTCTGATTTTGTGACAGTTTCACATAACCCCAGTTTAATTCTGCTTTCTGGTCTACAGTGAAATAGTACGGTGCTGCCTCACAGGGCAATAAAACCCAAAAATTCACCTCAAAAAACCCAAAGAAAAAATAACCCCAAGAGGCAGGGGCAGAAACGTATAACAAACATTCATTAAAACAGCCGTTTTGAGCAGCAGCTTATTGTTAAAAAGATAATTACAAGAGACATGCATTCTTATCAACATATAACTAACATTACCTACAACTGGTCCACTTTCTTTTCTGTTAGGTCTGGGTTTCGCCAGCGTTTGGTTCATAATTTGTAAAATCTCCCTCTTTGCAGCTGTGGGGATTAGCAGGGGGGAAAGCAGGAGGAAGGAAAAAAATAGAGAGTTTTGTATAAGACTAAAATAAGTTTATGCTGTTTTTGTTATAAAGTAGATAAACACCTGTTCATAAAATCTGCCTCCTGCCTAGCTTGAGAATTTATCATGGTAACTTAACACATTTCAGGGAGTGCATGTTTGTTGCAGCACAACATCCTGCTCTGTGCATACAAGACCTATGCCTTCAGCACATTTATTGATTTTACGCGGCCTAGAACATTACATACAGGTTTTAATACAGCATGACAAGAATTCTATAAACTGATACGGCTTAGTAATATTGTACTTGCATCAGTCAAATCCAAAATACCGCATGTAAATATTTTATAATATATTCCTCCGCCCTGATGTTGCTCTTCTGTATACGTTCCCTCCCTCCTCGCTTTGCTATGCCACTGATTTTATTGCAATTTTTCAAAACAAGTTACCCATTGCACTAAAGTTAGTATCACACCATTTTTGTTCTGTTGTAATAAAAAGTAACCTCCAGGAGCAGCAGACACTTTCACTGACACTATGTACAATAATAGGAAACTTAAGTCTGGTGGGAAGGGCCTGGCTTTTTGGAGACTGAATGCTCCCCTCTGATATTAAAAGCTACTTATTTTGTATGAAGTGCCTATATTGAAATATAACAGACAACAGCCAAACCAGACCAGTTTTTTGAAGACAGCAGCTTTTTTCCACAATGAGAAAAAAAATTAATAAATTTATTATTTAGTTCCATAAAACTTAGAATTTAATACAATTTATCATTTAATAGCATAAAATGAGTGCAAATACAAATATGGACCTACCTGTAGCTTGCTGAATAGCTTCCATTACAATTTTTATTGGTATTCCTGGCAGTTTTAGATCAACCTAATATGAAAAGAGTTAAGTTGCACCAATATGTAAAGAAGGCTTTTTTAGATACATTCTGAGAGTTCCATTTTAGGGAGATTTAACGTTACAATACCTGCAAGGCAGTTATTCCTTTATTAGTACCTGCCATCTTGAAATCCATATCACCGTAGTAATCTTCAATTCCCTACCAGCATAGACAGAAAGAAAGCAAATTGGAGTAACTTTATCCCAGCATCAAGTCTTGTTGTACACAAAAAGTACATTCTATGTTTCAATAAGCCGCAAAGTAGTTCTGCAGACTTGGAATTACTTCTGACTCACGTGTTTTACTTCAGCCGTATTTTGCTGTTCAGGATTAACACTGTTCCTTTCTCTCGTTATAAATTAAAGAGCTGTTGTGGACTAGTTTCCGAACAACAGATCCATGGTTGATTTTGTACTATCAGTGGCTGCCACAGGAAGAAGTAGCAGCTGCACGATAATGTGCATTTCCCCCCCCCCCAGCAACTTTGCCAAGCACTCATTCTCCATCCAATATATTGTGCTTTTCAGTAAATTAAAGTATTCAAGAATTAATAATCTCTTTCTCCCAAGAGAAAAGACAAAATTCATTGGAAAGAGAGAGCTTATGAGAGCCTAAAAGAAAAAACTGACTAATTACAAAAAAATAAGAAGTATGACTGGATATTTCAAAGTCATTTTTTTTGTTTCTTTTGTTTTTAAATAAGGGAGGAGTTTGGGAGAAAACTATTCAATATTTCCAGTAGCATATGTTCCAGAATTAACTGGGCAAAACATCACAAAAGAAGGCATAGAGGATATTTTACAGAATTAAGCGGCAATAAAAACAACGCTAGAAACACTCACCAGGATGTCTGTCAGCAGACGATAGTCCTCAATATCTCCTTTTTCCTGACTGCATTTGGTAATGAGACCTATTGCTACACCTGCCACTGCACTTGATACTGGAACTCCTAATCATGGTAAATAAAAATACATTTTTATAACCTTTGGTCATTTCCAAATCTTATAACACATTATCATATGTCGTTTATCCTTATAAGGGCCATATTTTGTACCTGCATCCATTAACGCCAAACTTCCACCACATGCAGAAGCCATTGAAGAGGACCCTGCAGAGTTAGAATACAGGGGAAAAAAAAGTATTAAACACTGGTCAGAAGTACCTGAAACAAAACTTGCAAGTGATATGCTTCAATGACAGTCTGAAACTTAACTCGCTGCTAGCTAGAAAACACCGTGCAGCAACGCACATACTACACTAAATAATTGCAATTAGAAATCTTCTGTAGCAGAATATTTTTAACAAGCAATGGGTAATATAGTTTGAATCTTTCATGATACCGATACCAAAAAAGCTCAACAAGCATCATGATTAATATTAAATATTCTAGACAAGGAATCTGTGGGTTTCGCAGGAAGCTGCAAATGGGACTCCTTCCCTTTCTCCACCAACTCCTTCTCCCAGCCAGCTCAAACTGCAGTACTAGGAAATACGAGGCGGCCTCAGGGAGCTTCTGGCCACACAGGGGAATCTGCAGAAAGGTGAAACAGATAGCCCTCTCCCAAACTGGGGAGATGGGAAAGAACAAATACAGACAGCCAGAAGTTACCTCTAAGTCAATGATGGTACCAGCTGTGATTAAACACCAAAGAATCACATTTAATGCATGCTGATTTATTTTCCTCACTCTGTAGCATAAAAATGCCCCCAAATACCGTTTTATTAAACTCAGAACTTATGTTTACATGTCATACTAATACTGTGCTGTTATAAAAATTGAAACAAAAGTCCATTGTTTGTGACCATATGCATCCTTTTTACTTGAAGTACTTCAGGTAATAGAGCTATCAAGATTAAGAAGGTTAAAAATGAAATCTACTACCTAAAATGCCTACAACTCAAGTTTGTCAAACGTGGGCTTTAAGGACCAAATTTAGTCTCTAGCACTAGGTTAAAAATAAGAAAGTCATAATACCATTTGACTCTAAGACTTCAGAAGTAATTCGTATTGTGAATGGGAAATCCTGGGGAATAATTGGTTTCAAAGCTCTTTCTGCAAGTGCACCTGTTTGGAAAAAAAAAAACAAACACCAAGTGATCCATAAATAAAAACAATTAGACAAAATATTAAAACTTACAGCAGGGACTTCTCTAGTCAGAACTTACCATGTCCAAGTTCTCTTCTGTTCATACCAGTAACTTTGCCAATCTCATTAGTTGCATAAGGAGGAAACTATGAAGTAAAAGAACGTGTATATAGAAATTAACTAATATTTTTTCTCCATGTTAAAACATACACTTAGAAAAAAATTCTTTGAAGAATTTTTCATGCACCTCAAGGTAAAACAATTAAAAAAATAATCTAACTACCACATGACTTCTATTAGTCACTTAGTTTGCAAACCAGGACCAGTTTAGATAGTATTTAGTAAGTGTTTTACTTCCACAGAACAAGAGAGAATAAAGCAGTTGCAAGGTAGTTAAAAAACAACACAAGCTTAGTCCAATTGAACTTGTCAAACAACATATCAGAGATCTTGTTTCTGTCATACAGATAATGGAACAAGATACACCTGTTGCCAGTATGAAATACTTTGGGCAAGTTCCAAAGGCTGAGAGATCCAAGATGTAAAAGCACCTATTTACTATTAGTGTAGTATGTCAACTGAACATATTAATAAGAGTTTACTAAAAATAATAGAGCAGGTTAATCCTGCTTTCAGCAATAGCCCATTCTTAAGGAAGTAACCTAATGTTAAGATATTAAAAAGGCAATTTACAAATTATCTAGTGCTTTTTTAGGAAACCAGCACTTGTTTCATAAATCGCAGTATACATTCACATACGAATTAGAATTAATAAATTCTAGCAAAGCTAGAGATAATTTATATCCTTGGAAGTGATCAATTTCACCTTTAAAAACAAGACATGAAGCCCTTCTGTGAATCATGCAGAAAGGTGTGACACAGTAAGACTCTCACCTCATAATGCAGCATGAAGTTTTTATCTTTTATTCCACTATTAATTAAAAAAGACCATGTCAAAACAGAGCAACCAAACATGTCTTACATACAACAGGTAACACATAAGATTATATTCAGTCATGCTTACAAATAGACTCAGCAAAAACAATCAATAGGTTTGCTGATCACCCATATTTTTCCTAAAGTTTTCTATGTCGTCAACAAATTAAAAAGCATAGCCTACAAAGAAAAAACCTCATGTGTTAATCATCATCATTAAAATGGTTTCCCTAGCTGTTTAGAATAGAATAGGCCCTATCAGTTCCTTACGCTGGTTTCGGTGTGTTTGAAGGAAGAAAAAAATAAAATTCAAACTTCAAGAACATCAGCATTTTACTGTACACATTGCAGTGAGGACTGGAAAACTTAAGCGCTCAGAAGGAAAACTGAAAATCTCTGTAACCACAAAATAGCTCTTGATTAAATTAAAAAAAAAAAAAAAACACAACATAAATCTGTGCTCAAAAAAGTTACCAAAGCACCACAAGACTTGACCCTTAGCAATAAATACAAAAAAGCTAATCTATAAAGAAAGTTGCTTCAAGTCAAGACTTGCCTGTAGTTTCATATAGAGGCAATCTCTCATTCGTGAAGCCACCTAATGACAGCTAATTAAAACCATTATTCAACACAAACTAATTCCAAGAATACCAAAGTTACAGAACATAGACAAACACCTCTAGATCAAAAAATTTAACTAAAGCAAAGCTGACACTAAAATGTAAAAGCTCCCACATTGGTGGGATGAGATCACTGAACTGCAGCTTTAACGGGAAGGAGTTTCCCCTTCCCAACAAGAGAGCCCTCAGCAATAAAATGTTAACGGCACAAGGGCTTGCATGCTACATCGTAAGTTAAATTTTCCTTACTCCACTAAAAAAAGAACACAAGTGTTTTCACCCTCTGAACATTTTTATTTTGAGACAAAACAAGAACATTTAGATAGGCTGATTCAGTTGAGGGAATCCCCCCCCCTCAATGATCTGCTTTTTAATTTTTTTTTCTATTTGAACCGAACTTGACAAACAGAACAGCACTTCATGGGCTCCATGCATCCAACTCATCAAGCAAAACTTCAAAAACTGTGAGAAATGCATTAAATGAGTAGAATACATATCAAGTTCCAAGTGTGACGATGAATATTTGGAACAGAGGGAATCAACTTTCATCAATCGTTTTATTTAAAGAGACTTGATAAATGGACGCAGTTTTACAGACTCAAGAGTAATTAGCTATTTTCTTTCTCTCAAAACCAGACTGGACATTACTTGTAATACTCCCCAATTTCAAATGTGGGCCTATGGAATTAACGTCATCTTAACAAAAAACAACTGCCGAGATCTCTTGAAAATAGGCCGCTTCAAAGTCTGATTTTACACATTTTCCAGTCCTAATGAATACATATATATATATATATGTCAAAGTTCAAGGAACTTTTATCAAATGTGCTTAAATGTTCGCTTTCTTCTATTACCACTGACAAAACACCAGAAGATATACCTACCTCACTGCTGTTGAGATAAGATCTGATTTTACGCTTGATTCTATAGAGTCAAATGTAACTGTACAGAGAACCTAGAATAAAACAGAGGGTAAATAAACTGCTCTTAAACACTTCCATGTTTCACAACTTCTACTGGTTATGAAGAATCAAAAAATGATTTCAGCAACAGATATGATGCCATCCCCTACCACTTCTGCAAACTTTTTTTTCCCTTCATCGCACGAACTTATTATCTGTAAAGATTATACAATCTTACAAGCAATCACATTTAAAAATACTAATTTAACACTGAGGAGTAAACCACTGTTTGCAACTACCCATGTACCCTGTAATACGTCAGATCAATGGCTGACAGTCTTCTAGGAAAATGAGCTATAAAAATATAGGAGATGAAATCTTGAGTACAATCTTAATTCAATCCAGCCAACATCTGACACTTCTGGCAAAGAAGAGGAAAAAAAAAAAAATCTCACTAATGTTATTTTTTTGTACAATTTCCCTATTTAGTCCAGGCTACATATGAAGTTCCTTTTAAAAGATTTCTCACGAGATGCACAATTTAGCACTGCCCTACATACCAATGACCCATTAACCGAGTCACCCGTTTTTCTAAATATGAACAGGATTACATTTTACATGAAAAGCTCTTGTTTCAACAAATATCTTTAACATAAAAGTCTACATAGAGGGATGAAAAAGATATGATTTTGGACTTATCTTATTAACAAGCAATTTTACTTCAAGCCATCCTGAACTGGAAAGCTTTCTTCTCAAACCACCTCCCTCCAAGACAAAACCCACCCAACCAAAAATGCCCCAAATCTGCCAACCTTAACTGAACAAGGAGAATCCTTACAGCTTCTAACTTTGGTTACTGGACATTCTTCAGAAAGTCTGAAGACACAATAATGCTTCCCAGACTCTTTCTGAGCACATATCCTTAGAACGTTATCCTAATGTCTGTACTGTTCATGCAGCAAGGAGCCAAGCTTTGTCTACTGTCTTAATGGACTCACACATTTTAATTAAATCTAAACTCTTTTCTAGTTATTACTATTTGAATGTGACGAAAAAGGAAACTTCGCATTTAAATGAAAGATACAAATCTTTCAGCTTTTGATAAATTAAATTTACGATTTCTGATGTTTAAAGATACTACCTGTGTTTGACCTCTCTGAAATAAGGCTGATCCATGAAGCATTTTAAACATGTTCACTTCACATTTAATATCTCTGAGGGCAGTCAAATCTCTCCCGTCACACCTAAAGTTGCAAGCAGAAATTATGAGATCAATGGAACTATAGTCTTGGATACAAAGTTGACAGAAATATTATTCACTAGGAGTTTGATATACTTACCTTCTATATTCATTCAGAACAAGATTTCTAAAAATATCCTTTGAAACCACATTGAAAGATTCCATGATTTCATAAGGCTCAGCCTCTGGAAATTTTTCTGGGTATAACAAAACAAATTGCATCCAAAGTTGGAAAATGAATTTTAGAGAACTTTTAGTAAAATAGCTTGGCCAAAAAGAGCACACTGTAACTCTAAGTAGTGCTAGCTCCATTTAAGCATTCTCTAAATATTAAGCAAGCAGAAGATAATACCTTTCAGCTGTTCTTCTGTTTCAAGCCTTATTTTGTTAATTGCTTCATCTCTAGAAATCTAGAACACAAGATTTGCAACCAGTTAACTCTACGGGGCAGAATAACAAAGAGAGGTTTGGGTTGTTGGGTTTTTGTTTGGTTTAAAATTCTGTAAAACTGAAGGAATAAGGACTAGGATTGTCACACCAATTCAAAAATCAATAATGTACTGCAAACAAATATTCTGGTAGGTAAGAATTTACAGAACAATTTATTATTACTACTGCAAATATATGCAGAGGAGGAGAAGAGTTTTTATTAACATTAAAGAAACTAAATCTTACTACAGTTCCATTATGATATTAATTAAAAATAATTATAGCATGTTTGAGTTGATTACTTACTTTATCATGGCTAGAATCTGTGAACACCGCATAGATCTTGTTAAAAGCAAGTCTTTCGGAAGAAAAGAAAGAATTTTTGAAAACACAGCTTAAAAAACACTTACATAATTACTTTCTTTTGAGGACTAAACGTTTGTTTTCTTCAGCAGTATGAAAGCCCCGGACTGACATTTATAAACATTACTAGCTCCAGCTGTCCTTCCTGCCTGCTCTCCTGCCACCTCTCGGAAATTAGTTATCACTTCCACAGCAAAGCTCATACAAGCCAACATATCCTGACACCTTTTGTCACCATTCCACACGACTGGCATATTAACTTACAACACTTTCACTGGGTTTTCAGGATATTTGCTTTGCCCTGTCCTTCTCACTAAGTACAAAACAAGAAAGCTGAAGGCCTTGTTTGTAAGTTTCTATGGAAAACGCAGCAGGTAATTCTGAACCTTCAAAATATGCTATTTTGTTAAACAAAATCCCCAATCTGATCGGAGCTCATCAAATTAAATCATTGTCAAATAAGCATTTTGAGTCACTGTGATATCTAGATATCAAAATTATTTGCTCTGAACTTACTTCTTTACACATTCCACAATCTCCTCAGGAGCAACAAATAACTTCTGAACAGTTCTCTTGACAACACCTCGTTCTTTCACTAGTTGTTGAATTCCCTGAATTATTTGCTGGGTATGCTTCACCCCGACTTTGATGGCGTGACAGAAGTCTTGTTGCAATATATTCTCGGCAGTTGCTTCCAACATAACTATCAATGGAAAGTTAAAAATTTAGTAAATTACTATTTTATTGTTCAATAGCAATCTAACTCAACTGAGGAAATACAGAGTAACATTAAACCGCCTAAATACAATCGAACTTATTTTACCTAACCAGAAGTTACCTATCACTGTTGTTTATTCCTACTATTGTGTAAAAATACAAATTTCAAAGATTAGGAAATACCTGCAAAGAGGCACCTACTTGATTTTCAAACACACATCAGATATTAATAATTAACCTACTTACCAACTTGATTTTGAGGAGCTCCAGCAACAACTAAATTTAAAGCACTAGAAGACATCTGTTTTCGAGTTGGATTGATAATAGTTTCTCCATCAACAAGTCCTACCCTCACTGCACCTACAAAGAAACTCCAGAAATTATTATAAGAAAGAAAGTTCTTTAAGGCATCATTTTACCTGGAAAATTATACATCTAGAAACAATAATTAAAGCTATGGATTCATTTTAAAATATTAGCATGTTAGCTATATATTAAGAACAAATCTGTAAGGCAAAATTCTCTATTCTTGAATTTCTTTTGGGTAGTATTACTGGGTAGGGCATACAATGCCAAGTAGCATTATACACAAGGCTGTAAGTCTATTGTGGTTTTTTTTTGTTGTTGTTGGTTTTTTTTTTTTTAGTCATTTGAGCACATTTTCCAGAAAAAAGGCAGGTGAAAGGAAAATACAGCTAAATATTTGTTCTTGGCTAGATCATTTCTCTTCCCAAAAAATATTCACAAGGAAATAAAGCTCTTCTTGAGTTCCTGGAGAAAAAGTGTTCTTATCCAGCTATTTTCTAAATGATGCTTTTCAAGACTAAGTTTCTCTGAAGAAAAAACCAAGTTATTTGTCTCTATATTATACTATTTCTGGATTATAAGTCCTTCAGAAATTATACTTAGTCCAGGAAAAATAATGCTTTGAAGTGCAGTAAGCCTGTCCATTGTAGAATTATTTTCAATACTTGAAACAAAAGATAACGGACTTTAGAGTCAGATTCTTGTTAAAAAAGAAAGCATGAACTCTGGTCTAAGTCTTCCATTATGTTCAAATCATTCGTCATTTCAAAATATTTACTTACCAATAGGACCATTCCATGGGATATCAGATAATGCAAGTGCTGCAGAAGCTAGAATGAAGACAGAAAAATCTGTATTAGAAAAAAATGGATCACATTAAATCACCCTCAAGCAGTAATTTTTAACAGTCCTCTTACCTCCATTAATTGCCAGAACATCAGGATCATTCACACCATCTACTGCTAAAAGATTACAAAGGATCTGGCATAAGATAAAAGACAATAAATAATTTTGACCTATACATTTTTATTAGCTGTCAATACAAAGCTAAGGACAATGAAACAAAACATTCCACATATTTATACAAGCCTATACTGCAAATTAAAATTGTTCAGCTATTTAAACTACAAAGCTCACAAAAAATTCCACTAATGTATAATATTGTATCATATAACATATACTGTTAGCCTTTCTTTCCTCTGTTGTACAGAGGATATTTGAACTTTGTTCCTGTATCTCTACAACAAAATTTGGAAACTAGCATGTAATAGAAATAATTTAAGACAAGGAGATGACAAACTAAAAAGCAGCATTACACTATTAGACTGTTTTTCAAAGTGTAAACCTCTCCTGGATGCTAATGAAAACTGCTTTTCTTAAAACAGTGCCTATATCATGTGAAATTTTAATGGGACATACCCAAGTTTTCCATTCTGAAGGCAGCTATAGTTAAGGACAGTGAGCGTGACCTACCTGTGTATCATAAAAGTAGCCTAACCTATCTGCAAAAGAAATATTCAAAGTCTAAGTAGTATTTGGGTTTCAGTAGTTAGTATTTGGTTTGTCATGTAATAACCCCACAAGAAACTGACAGAACAGTTCAAGTGAAAGACCCAAACAAACAAAAAACCAGGAGAAAAGGCAGAGAACCCAGAAGGAAATTTAGCATGACATACAATCAACTCTAAAATTTCAATAGCACTCAGAGTAAAACAAGAGGTATTTGGGTGAGCATACCCACTGTCAGGTAACACGAGGTAAAAACATTGAAAAAAAAGTCTTCTACGCTTTAGGATGCAAATCATCTATTAAATAGCATTTCACCAGAAGTACCTTCAATGAAGGGACATAGTCCTCAAACAAAGAAAAGCAACAAAAGCATGCATGTTCAAAATGCTGCGTTATTTCCGTGATGCGTAGATTTCCTATTAATTTTGTTTCGGTCTGAAGTGTATAGGACTGTGTAACAGCCCAGGCCTTATAGGCTGTTCCCTCTCCTCATTCTTTTCATTGCTGTCTTAAGATATAAAACTGATGTCAAATACATCAGCGTAAGTGTTGAATTTCAAGGTGTTATCTTATTCACGAATGGGGATAACCATGATGGAGATGACTTCTCAAGCAGGATCAAGAGGGAAACAACGAGTATACACCAATCAGTAAGTCTGCCTCTTTGTATTTCAGAGTTTAGCTTGGTTGCCTCTTCCACCTCTCCAGAGAGATGTGTGACTGCAGAGGTAACATCTCTGCAATTAGGACGAGATCTTGGATACAATAATAAAGGTGACAACAAGATTTCTCAAGATCCAGGCTATGTATAAAAGGAATATGCACACAGCCCCACTTGTATACTGTTTTAAAAATCAGTACTGATAAACAAGAAACTACAAGTTTGTTTTCTTCTGACATTACTGCAGAAACAATCGACTCTGCAAACAGCAGTTATAAATTACTATCTTTTCAAACATTCATGAGAATATTACAAAATATTTAAAATACATTGTAAATAAAATGTTTCAGCCTACCTATTACTCTACTTGTAAGAATTTCTTTATCAGTGGAACCAAGTTCTCTTCTTAGATAGTTTGTAGGAATTCTTCCTGCTGCAGCAGCTTTCTGACGATAGTCGACCTTTTAAAAACAAAACGGAGATTCCTAAAGACAACAGATTACTGGTTTCAGAGCCACAGAATCAGTCAGGTTGGAAAGGGACCCCTCAGAAGGTCCGTAGCCCAATTTCCTGCTCAGAGCAAGGTCAACTCTGACTTCAGATCACATTACTCAAGGCTCTGTCCTGACACCCAAATGGACCCTCCCATTCCAGTTCATACATGGACTACCCAGCCAGTCAGCCCCCAGCCTGAGCTGCTGCAGGGCACCAGCGCACCTCAAGTTCAGGACTTTGTGTTTGCTCTTGTAGAATTTCATAGGGTTCCTGTTGGCCCCTTCCTCCAGCCCCTGGTCCCTCCCCTCCGGATGGCAGCCCTGCTTCTGAGTGTATCATCTGCACGCCCCTAGTCTGGCATCATCTGCGAACATGATGAGCAGGAATTCCAGGTCACCCATACAAGTATGAGACAGGCTGCGACCCAGGACAGACCCCCTGAAGAACTCACTATTATTCAGCCTCAAGGTAGAACATGAATCATTAACCCTTAATAACCACAATGCTTCGAGCCTCATAATCCAAACAGTTTTCCACAGATCTAAAATATAATGTCTGAACATGGATGTTGTGGCAGACAAAGTTCACAAGGCTTCTGTGGAAAGCCTTGCTAAAGGCAAGGTAGACAACATCCACTGCTCGTCCCTCATCCATAGGTCTAGTCTTTTTATCAGACTGCTATTCTGAAGTCCAAGGTCTGTAGCCTGCTACTTGCATTCCTCCTTCCCCCCAGCACCCTGAACTCCACTAATTATCGATTACTACTGCTAAGGCTGATTATCACAAAACTAATTTTGTCGTTAGTACTTACCACTAATGGCATAAACTGAGATGCAGAAGGCTTAGTTTTACTGACTGCTGTGACCATTACTGCTGTGTCACCTAGCTGGATTAAGAAAAGAAAAAAAATTGAAATTACCTGCAACCAAAATACCGTCTGAAGTCCTAAACTTATTCTCAAACTAAAACTCCAGAATATTCTTTGCAGAAAACAACCACATAAATCCATGCTTCACACCATTATTTTTGCTTTTCAAACAATTTTTTCCCCCCTACAAAACACAGCTGTACATTCATTAGGGATTACATTGCCAGTTGAGGCTCTATATCCTTTTAATACGCTCTGATGTCCTAACAATGACAGAAATTTTGAAGTTGAACAAATTTTAACTTTTTTTTTTTACCTGGACAACAGCAGATCCATCAGCAAACCTAGCAAGTTTTCCAGAAGACAGTTCCATCTTTCTATTAGAAAGAAATAATGTTATCACAGTGAATTCAAATAAATTTTCCAGTAATGTCTGCATTCATCTACAGCATCTACTGTACACAATGTTGGCTACACTTCATATTAGACATAAAAATCCTCACTAGATATGGAAATTTAAACTCTCTGACAAAAAGTGACCAAATCCCTTTACTTTAATGTGCTTTTATTAGAATCATAGAATAGTTTAGGTTGGAAAAGACCTTTAAGATCATCAAGTCCAACCGTTAACCTAGCACTGCCAAGGCCACCACTAAACCATGTCCCTAAGCACCACATCTCCCCAGCTTTTAAATACCTCCAGGGATGGGGACTCAACCACCTCCCTGGGCAGCCTGTTCCAATGCCTGACTACCCTTTCGGTGAAGAAGTTTAGTTTTTCCCCCAATCTAAACCTGCCCTGGCGCAGCTTGAGGCCGTTCCCTCTTGTCCTATTGCTTGTTACTGGGGAGAAGAGACCGACCCCGCCTGGCTCCAGCCTCCTTTCAGGCAGTTGTAGAGAGTGATAAGGTCTCCCCGCAGCCTCCTTTTCTCCAGGCTGAGCACCCCCAGCTCCCTCAGCTGCTCCTCATAAGACCTGTGCTCCAGCCCCTGCCCCAGCTTCTTTGCCCCTTTTGCCTCAGATATCCTGCTTCTTTCACCTAGAAGCAAAGCCTCACAGTCACATCAGATGTCACCTAAAGGCACATCTACGGCTTTGCTGGCACTGGAAGATGAACCACCCACCTGTTCAAGCTGGGTTTTAGAGCCTTGCCACTAGAAAACACAAGCACAGCCCTGCTGTACCCCGACAAGAAAAGGGGAGCTGCCTGCACACCCACGAAACACCGTTTCCCCCCACAGCTGCAGGATATGCCCTTTTCCGTGCGGGAAAGAGAAGTAAATACACCTGCCCTTCACCCCCTGTGAAGAAGGAACGGCACGCAGGGATGTCAGCGGCAATTTCTCCTCACGGTTGCTTAACCCACCGCCCCGGACAGCGCTCTCCGCTGACTCCGGGGCCGTGGGGTCTGCCGGCCCCCTGCCCAGCGCCAGTACCGAAAGCCACTCCTCAGCCCCGGCTCAGGGAGCGGGGAACACCCGGAACGCCTCCCCGCCGCTCCCCCGCTCCCTCAGGGCGCGGAGAGCCCCTCCCCTGCCCCCCACCTCCCCCGTCACCGTCCGGCAGGGCCCGGGCTCCGCTGCGGCGCCGCGGGTGGGCG